TCCATGTCAATATTCAATATTATAACTCTGAATCAATTTGAAACATCATAACACAAAACAAACACATCAATATCCCTGGGAAGCAAGATTTTCTGTGTAAAGAATGAAAGAACTAACCAGCAAAGTCCTGTAATTGCTAGACTGGGATTGGAACCACCAAAATGAATTTACTTTCAAGCATGCATTTCTTAGTCCCATCCACTGAAAAACTGAAAATGCCCTGTTGGAAATAAGCATTTTTATTCCACGTCTTGGTTTCTAAATACCCTCTCACTCATGTTTGAAAAGCCACAATTCCCGTGGAAACGACTGGAGGAGGAAAAGTACAACTTAACCCTAGAATACCAAGTTCCCTGGAGTGAGGAAGGGCTCAAAAGAAAGCGGGCGTGTCCCCAAAGGGTGCACAGAAGACAGCTGGAAGGGCCCCGAATGTGGTACGGATGTTGTGCGGACCACTAATCCTAAAGACAGGATAAATAAAAAGCTCATGGAGGGGAGAGAGAGAGGGCTCAGGCTTGAGGCAGCCCCTTGCTTAAAGTGACAGTTACATCCACTACTCTCTCTGAAAATCTGTAAGTATGGGGGAATAAATAATTAAGCTTTTCCTCTTGCCTCTTCAGGAAGAATCTTTGATCAGTCCAGAGGAGGAGGCAAAGCTCTTTTTCACAGAAGAATGCTAGCCAGTGAGTGTACAAAGAGTGAGATTTGGAAAGCCTCAGTAAGGACACTGGTTCAGGTGAGGATCACCAGTGGATGCTGACACCAGTGGACCAAAGGTCATGGTGAAATGAGTGTCCACAAGACAGGAAACCTAGAAAAATGGGTACGTTCCTAGAAACACACAGCCTACCAAGGCTGAACTATGAAGAAATAGAGGCCCCACATGATGGCTGATGCTGTAAACCCAGTTACTCCAGAGGCAGGGACTGGAAGGACAGTGATATGAGGCTAGTCAGGGCAAAAAGTTAGGGAGACTCCATTTCAACAAACAGCGTGGTGGCCCCTGCCTGTGATTCCAGCTATGTGGGAAGCCACAGGTAGGAGGATCAAGGCCTAATAGCCTCAAGCAAAAAAGTGAGATCCTATCCAAAAAATGACCTAAAGTAAGAAGGGCTGGAGGCGTGGCTCAAGTGGTATAGTGCCTGCCTAGCAAGTGCAAGGCCCTGAGTTCAAACCCGGTACTGCAAAACAAGAAAAGAAAGAAGAAAGAAATCCGAAACAGACCAGTAACAGTGAGGGAGATTGGATAAGTAATCAAAAATCTCCCAGCAAAGAAAAGCCCAGGAACTGAAGGCCTCACTGCTGAGTTTTACCAGACGTTTAAAGAACCAATTCCAATCCTTCTCAAACTCTTCCAGAAAACTAAAGAGGAAGGAAGGAATACTTCCAAACTGATAGTGACTACAAGAAAAGAAAGGTACATCCCAGTACACCTGATGAACACAGGGGCAAAAATCCTCAGCAAAATACCAGCAAACTGAATTCAACAGCACATTAGAAGGTGTGGTTGTGCACACCTGTAGTCCCAGCTACTTGGGAAGAAAGTAGCAGAAAGACAGCTACTTGTAGCAGAAAGACAGCTTGAGCTGAGGAGTTCAGGGCCAACCTAGGAAACATGAGATCCCATCTTTTTTTTTTTTTTTTTTGGTGGTGGTGGTACAAGGGTTTGAACTCAGCACCTTGCATGTGCTGGGCAAGTGTTCTACCATCTAACCCTCTCCACCAGCCCAAGATCCCATCATTTAATAATTAATAAATGAACAAACAAATATAAAAGGATTGTTTACCAGGACAGAGTGGGATTTATTTCTGGAGTGGAAGGATGAGTCAACGTATGCAAATCAATAAATGTGATGCATCACGTTAGCAGAATAAAGGACAGGAGCCCACAGGTCACTCGGTAATTGCAAAAGGAAAGACATCCCTGTATCAGAGGAATCTTAAACCAAGTCGTCACACTTAGCATCACTAATGGTGGGAAAGTCACCTGAGGTGACACAGCATAAGGGTCAAGGAGTGGCCTGCGAAGTGCTCTTGCTGGTATGTTTAATCTGAATTGAACCCAGCCCTTAGCCATGCCTTCCCAGGTACAGGAAATACAAAGAAGTAGGTTCAATGAGACCATGAGAGCATAATCAGACCAGCCAAAACACAAGACATTCAACAAGACGGCAGCCCTCTGGTGTCCAAAATAGCAAAGGTTAAAAGATTCAAAAGAGATGTAACAGGCAAATTTCAAGTTGCATTGATTGGGTTTTGGTTTGAGGGTTAAAAAAAACAAAAACAAGTTGTACAAGACAACTGGGAGAAGCTTGAGCGTGATCTTAGAAGGTTATATTAGGGAACTTCTGCTCATTTTCCTAGTTGCAATAATAGTGTTATGGTTTTATGGGGAACATCATTATTAAGAGTTGTACTTAGGCCGGGTGCCTGTGCTCACACGGTAATTCCAGCTACTCAGGAGACAGATCAGGAGGACTGCAGTTTGAAACAAGCTTGGGCCAATAGTTATCAAGACTGTATCTTGAAAATACCCAACACAAAAAATGGCTGGCAGGTGGTTCAAGTGGTAGAGTGTCTGCCTAGCAAGCGTGAGGCTGAGTCCAAACCCAGGTACTGCCACAAAAAAAATGAAAAAAGAATTGTACTTAGGACATAAGTCTTGTGTATAACCTAGTTCAGGAAGAGAAGTTGGTATCTTATATAAGCACCAAACAAATATAGCAAAGTAATAATGGCAGTTAGATCTAGATGGTGGATATACAAATGTTCACAGCACTTTTCTTGCACACTTTCTTTGTTTGGAAACTGACCTTAAAAAGGAAAGACTTTTTAATGAGTGAGATATGGGGGAAGGCAAATGAATTTCTGGGTTATAAAGGTTTTTTTCCTTGTTGTTTTATTCCTTGGGGCCTTACCGTAAGCCAGGTACTGAGCTAGGTACATGGGATGTGGAGAGGCCGAGAAAAAGGCTGCTGCCTTCGGGGACCTCACTGTCAAGAGCAGACCCATGGTTCTCCTTGTGGTGAAGTGAGCATGCATTCCTCAAACAATTCCAGCGCATCTGTTACACACAGGTGCTGTGCTGGGTGCTGAGGATACAGTGAAAATGAGGCAGGCAAGTTCCTGAACTCATGGACCTCATACAGCTATGAGAGAGGGACAGCCACGGAATCACAACTACAGGAAACGCACAGAACACTATGTCAACATGGAGAGGAGCACATCCAGCTCAGGGAGGGGTCTGAGGGTGACAGGGAAGAGTCAGGATGTCTGGAAGGATGACTAGCAAACAGATGGACAGATGGGAGCACAGAGGCATGGAGACACAGAACAGCCCCCGTGATCAGGGAGCTAGAGGGCAGGGGACAGCAGCCCTTCCTACATGAAGGGAAGATACAGGTGGGGCCGCATCTTAACAAGCAGATTCGGGAATCTGGGTTTTCTATAGCCCCTGGGAGCCCAGAACATTCACAAAGGGCGGTGACTGCTGCTCACTAGGCTGGGACAGCATTTAGCTCATTCTTGGCTGCACTTCCTCAAGCTCTGGAGGCCTGCTCACCGGGCTCTGCAGCTCCATCACCCCGAGGAGCCCCAGAGATTTCCAGAGGTCACTTCTGTGCCAGTGAGCAGCAGGAAGCCCTTTAGACTTGAACGCTCCATGAGCCTCGAGCCCCCTTTAGCTAGAGGAGAAGAAGGGCAGCTGGGAAGGGAGTGGGTGAAAGGCCAGGAAAGAGGCTCACCCACCCATTCTGAGGGTCACATTCTCCTGGACCAAGAAATAACTAGAGCTTTGATGCTGGCCAATTTGGTCCTCAGGATAGCGACAGCTTTTTGCTGCAATCATAGGCAAATGAAGACAAGCCACCGGGAGCTATTTTACATGACCTCTGAAGTGCTTTAACTTGAGGCTGTCTTCTCAAGACCACAGGTCACTAAGCAGAAGAGGGCCCAGTCAGGCTTCTTAGAATACAAGGCACTGATAGAGTTACTGCGCCCTGAACTGGGCTCCAGCATCCCTGCCTTGGGCTGTGGAGATGCCTTTGCTCCTACAGAAGCCATCTTCACTGCTCTGCCCTGCATCTCTTGGTTCCTCAGCCCAGACCTTGTAACTAGGGAAGGGTCAGCCAGTGATGGGAATGGCTGTGGCCCCAGTACTCTCCCAGAGAAGTGGATAGAAGTCTGCCAGGGCACAGGGCTACAGAGCCTAAAAGCTGAAAGTCCATGCAGAGTCCCAAAAGAAAAAGGGCTCTTATTAAAGGGCTCCTGGCATTTCCTGGAATCTGCAAGTTGTCATTGCCCTGCTCCCATTGCCATGGCTACTCCTGGATAGCTTTTCAACAGGAGACTCAAATAGAGTCCTGAAGGACCTGGGCATCAGTGCACACAGACTACTACTGTGTCTAGTTGAGGACAGACCTCAGGACCAAGGTTAGACAGGTGCCACACCAGCAACAAGGGAAGGGGACCAGGGACCAGGGTCAGGGAGAGGATGATGCAGGCGTGGGGACTGGCTATGTGAATGCGGTTTCTCCTGGTTGGATGAGGTAGGAAAGGTAGGGGTGGGAAGGTAGCAAGCCCTCCAGCCACCTCCACTATGAACCCACCCCTCCTGGAAGTCCCCATCAGCCAGACACATTGGTGCCCGGCCTGCTCGGCCCATTGGCTTTGCTCAGCCTGGGAACAGATGGGCGGCCAGGGCGCAGAAAGCAGTGAAGGGCTCCATGGACCAGTGCGTGAAGAGGCGCCAGCCTCGGGGTTAGGACCTGGTGTTTGGGGGTTGGGGGGCTGTGGAAGGTGTCCCCCGTAAGCATGGAGAACAAGGAGGGCCCACGCAGATTTTCCTCCTGAAGCCACAGGAAGGCCCCGTCGCCGGCCCCGGCAGCCTGGTGGGATGACGGGCACCGACTCGCGCCAGTGACTCAGTGGGCTGTTCCGGGTTGTCGCGCCCGGTCCTGGTCCCCGTCCCTGCCCCAGTCCCCTCGGCCGGGCCCCGCCGCCTACCTGTGTCCGCGGCCCGGTTCGTCCTCGCTGGCGCTGCCCCAGCCGGGGCTGAGGAACCGGGCTGAGTCCCCCGCGCCCAGCGGCTCCGCCCCCTCGTCCTCGTCCTCCAGTTCCTCCACGTCCTCGGCCTCCTGGATGGCGACGCGGATCTGCACCGGCGTCTCGGGCCCGGGCAGCGCTTCCTCGCCCGGCTGGGCCATGGCGCGCTGGGACTGCGGCAGCGCGGGGTCCCCGTTCCGCGGAGCCCAGCCCGGGATCTGGGCGGCGGCCACTGCGACGGCCGGGCGGGGACGGCGCGAGCGCGGCGCGGCGCGGCCCCGCGGGACGGACTGACGGACGGACGGACGGACGGACTGACGGGGGTCGAGCGGCCCCGCCACGCACACCCCGCGCGCGCCACCGGCCCCGCCCCGACCGCGAGCCGCGCAGGCGGGGCCGCGTAAGGGAGGGCGGGGGGGTTCCCCGCTCGCCTTCCGCAGACCAGTCCCTGACCCGTCCCGGAGCCCGGGCCCCTCCGTCCGCCGAGGACACCCCCCTCCCCCGCACCTCCGATTTCTACGCTCGGTTTGGCTCTGGACGCGGCGAGCACGGCGACAGCCTAAGCGGCTTCCGTTGTCCCCTGTGTGTGTCCAGGACCGACCTGCCAAGGTGAGAGACAGTCTCCACCTTGAGGCTCTTTGGCACAGCCACCCACACTGTGCTGGGTCCATCCCAGTGGGTCTGAGTGAGGTCCCCAGACCTGCAGCATCAGCCATACCCGGGAACCTGCTTGGGATGTGGGAATGCAGATTCCCAGGCCCGCCCAGCCCTCCTCATCAGGACCGGCCACCCAGAACTTTGCTTTAACCAGCTCTCCAGGTGATCCCAAAGTTACCCCAGTTTGGACCCCGCTGCGGGATAGAGTACGCCTCGCACAAAGCGCGCCTAAGTACTGAATGGTGAATAAAGCGAGCCAGGGCAATGCCAGGACACTCCAGACCCTGCCTCTTGCTCGCATATAGCTTTAAATTGACTTTTATTTCAGCCCCCCAAAAACAGTCCAGAAACTAAGGAAAGGACATAGACATGAAGAAGACTTGAATCGGCTTCCCCCAAGCTGTTCATTTACGGCCTTGAAGACGATTTGCCATAATTTGGACTCCAAAAGAAGAGACCCCTTCACCTGTATGCTATTTTGATATAGGCTCAGGAAATGGGGTCTTTTGGAGGGAGGGTGGTGCCCCTGTAAAAGAAGACTATGCAGAAGGTCCTCGTGTATGGGGTGCAGAAGGGCAGCCCCTCTTTATCTATCTATCTATCATCTATGTGTCTTCCTGTCTATCCATTTATGTATCTATCGCTTATCCATCATCACTTGTCAATCATCCATTCATCCATCATTTATCTGTCTATCCATGTATCTATCATCTATCTATCCATCATCTATTGTCTATTTGTCCATCCATCTTCTATCTGTCAATCATTTATCCATCCATCCATCCATCATCTATCGATCATCTATTTGTCCATTCATCCATCTGTCATTATCTATCATCTATCTACCTATCTTCATTTATGTATCTATCATCTATCCAACCATCTGTCATTTATCTATCTGTCCATCCGTCATCTATCTTCTATCAATCATCCATCCATCCATCCATCCATCATCTATCATCAATCTATCGATCATCTGTCCATTCATCCATCATTTATCTATCTATCTATCTATCTATCATCATTTTTGCAATGCTGGGGATGGAACCCAGGGCCTCAGGCATGCTCCTGGTGTACTTCTACCACCATACTCCCACCCTGATGCCCCCTTTTGAGGTTTAACTAGAATCTGTGTCTTTTTGTCAGATTTTTGCAGATAGAAGTCCTAGAGGGAGTGAGTGAAGGAAGACGGGGCTCCTGGGTGCCAGTGAGCTACTGGGAAGAAGAGGCAACAGGTCAAGAATGTCTTTTCCCAAGCCAGCTGTACCTCCCTCCAGAACCACAGAAGTTACAGAATCTCCACACGCCTCTCAGGAGGAGAGATTCCCAGCAGCCTCTGTGGCTTCTTGTCTGATAGCTTTGGTTCCTGAATTTCACAAAGCAATTCCCAAGGTCTTATTTAACCACCCTGTGTGGCAAAAACATCAGGGATTCAGGTTCACACCCACTATACTGATTCACATTTGAACCAGGTTTTAGTTTATGGAGACCTTGTACATACCTTATCTCAGGGCTTCCAAATGCCTTATCCTAAGAGTCCCCTGGGGACTTTCCTGAAATTATAGATACTGAAAATGTTCTGTGAAACCTGAGAGTTGGTAGATGAAACTGGCCCACAGACATACTTTGTATTGTTAGAGTTTTGAAAGAAAATACATTGAATTTACATATCCTCCAAATACGACTGCTGACTGTTTCTGATATTTATTTCTGACTTCTCACAAAAGAATTTGGATTTAGAAGGGAGATAGATGTCATCCAGCCCTGGGCTCCTCATGGTAAGGAATGGGTCACTCTTGAATATAAACCTTTCAGGTGGCTCACACCTGTAATCCTAGCTACTTGAAAGGCTGAAGTTGGGAGAATCATGGTTTGAGACCAGCCTGAGCAAAAAGTTTGCGAGACTGATAGCTGGACGCAGTGATGTGCACCTGGCACCCCAAGATACTGGGAGGCTGAGACTGGGAACATAGTGGTCCCTGGGAAAAAGTAAAAAATAAAGTTTGTGAGACCCCATCTCAACAGAAGAAAGCTGAGTATGGTGGTGTGCACCTGTCATTCCAGCTGCTGCATGAGCATAAGAGAACCATGTTCCAGGCTGGCCTGGGCAAAAAGCAAGACCCTAGCTCCAAAATAACCAGAGTAAAAATTGAACTGTCCCAATGAAATGCTCTGTGTAGCTATCTTAAACAAACAAAAATGTCTTTTTTTTCAAAAACCAGAGGACAGGAAGGTAAAACAGGTCCTGTCTGGGGGACTGGTACCAGCGGGAGGGGGAGGATGTAAGGAAAGGGTACAGATGGATGAATGTGGCTGAAATATTATATGCTCCTGTATGAAAATGGAAAAATGAGAAGTGTTGAAACTATTTGAAGAATGGAGGTAGAGGAGATAAAGGAGAGTGATGAGGGGTGAATTTAACCAAGGTATGTTATAAACACTTTTGTAAATGTCACAGTGTTTCCCCCAGTACATTAATAATATGATAATTTTAAATTTTTTTCAAAAAAAGGACTGAAGGTGTGGCTCAAACAGTAAAGCACCTGCCTAACAAGTGTGAAGTCCCAAGTTCAAACTCCAGTACCACCAAAAAAAATGAAAGTCTAAACCTTTCAACCAGAGCCCTATTAGGGAAAGATAAATATGGGATCATCTTTCTGGAATATCAATTTTACTCAAGTACTTAAGAGAAGAGACATATATGGATAGTAAAACAACTTGGAATAGCCGTAAACACAGCACTCACACGGAATTTTTAAGGCAGCTTCACACAACTCTGTCATGTGCTGCTGGTGGCTTAGCATGACACCCAGGGGAAAGGAGAAGAGAACCCCTCATCTGCATTTGGGGTGCTTTATGGGAGTACTCAGTCACTTTTCAGATGAGGAAAGCACGTCCGGGGAGGTGACAGCGAAGGGCCTCTTCTTCCTCTTCACTGCATTCTCCCCCCCATTCAGTCTAGCACACAACCTGGCGTCTGGAACCCTGCTGATCTAATTCAGCTGGTTGTATGTACACATCCAATCATTTGTGCCTGGTTTCCAGCTCCCTCCCCAGAGCCAGGGCGGGGAAGGAGGTCAGCCCCACCCAGGCTTGCCTTGAGTATCATTGCAGGCCCATTGAGATGTTAGCCAAGCCTCTTTAAACAAGCATGACCTCAGCATGGAGCGGGCCTCTTTCCCTTGCCCTGGAATTTTGAGGGCTCGTTTTCATAGCACACTTGAAATGGGGAAATAGCTTTTTCTTCAGCTCTTGAGGATGGAACAGAAAGAAACATGCAGCAGATGAGGCAATAAACTGAGGTTAGGTTGAAGCAAAAACTCAACCCTGGAAGACCTTTCCAGGACATAAAAGGATGTTGTTTTGGAACCCATTGGAAATATTTTAGTGTGTCTGGTGGCAGAGTTGAAGCCAAGGCCTTGGAATAAGCTGTTAATGTGGTGAAATTGAGATGGCGCTAAGTGCTGAAGAGAAGAGTTGGGGTGCTCATTCAAGGGTCTGGTTTTAACTGTCAGTTAAGAGGGCATTTTTATTGACTCATTTCATCACATATACCAAATATCAGACCCTGTACTGCACTCAGGTTTATAAAATGCATAAGACCTGACTCATGAGTACAGGAGATGGGAAAGCCTGGAAAAGGCAGTCTTCCCTAATAAGAATGGGTCTCCTGTAGTAAGTGCGATAATAGAAATTTGTATAAGAGGCACAGTAGTAAAAATATCACCAAGGGTATCTTGAAGCTTTCTTGAAAAGCTCCCACAGAAGCAGCAGGGTGTAATGGGGAAAAAGCACTCACTTTGGTATCTCATAGACCTGGATTGTGGCACCAGCCTCATCGCTTGCTCAGTTTTCTTGCCTATAAAGTGGTTTAAATGATCTCAGTACCCTTACCTAACTGAGCTGGGCACACAGACCAAAATAGATGGCTTGTGGGAAATGTCTAGCTCAGTGCCTGGCCACACAGACCCCAGTGCATGCTGGTGGATGTGGCTTTTCAATACCTCCACAGCAGGAAAATCTGAGCCTGAGTGGGGAAGACAAATGTTCTAGTTGCTTGATCTGAATATTACTGCATTGTAAATTAAGAATATTATGGTTTGATTTGGTTTGGGTTTAGTCTGGACACCAAACTCTTCTAGTTGAGGTAACCTGTCAGAGCCAACTTAATTCTGAACATCCTGACAAAATGAAGGACCTGTCTGGGCCAGAACCAACATCTTCCTGTAGCTTATTCTTGACTTCAGTAAGAACTAAGGTACTTGTGCATAGGAGTGAGGTTTCTTGTGAGACTTGTGTGTCAGTATCTGTTCTCTCTTGTTCAACAATATCAATCTCAAGATTTATTACTATTTTACTTTTTGGTGGTACTGGAGTTTGAACTCAGGTCCTCCTCACCCTTGCTAGGCAGGGGCTGTACAACTTCAGCCACACCCCCCAGCCCTTCAACCTCCAGTTTCAGACGGATGCAGGTCACTTAATTAGAAAGTACATTTCCTGGTCTGCCTTGCATAT